TGGAATAAGATCAAAGTTTTGAAGATTTTTACAATAAGCCAAGCTATATCTATGCTTGTATCTTTTTCCAATACCATAATAGATTTTTTCATATCCAAGTGCCCGATACAAAGGAAATTACAATCACAAAATTTTAATTCTAATAGAATATTAAATAAAATCTAATTAAACCTTAAAAATGCTATATAAGCTTTAATTAAATTTAAAAGAAACTTTAAAGAAATTACAAAAGAATTAATAAGAAAACTTAAAGGAATTGAAAGAAAATCTATAATAAACCTTAAAAGAATCCTTAAGAAGTCCTAAAAAATATTAAAATAATTACAAATATATATTAAATAAATCTCAACCAAGTTCTAATTTAATACTAATTCAAACCCTAATGGATTTCAATCAAATAATCCAAATAGAAGAAATTTTTTTAAATCCACTTGGATGTTGGCTGGCCTCTTACTTTAGTTTGAATATTAAAATTTTAGTACCAATATCTCCTTATTAAACCTTCTAATTATTCTCAAATTTCACATGTATATAGCAAATCAAGTCTTTTATTCTTAAATACAAATTTTACTTCAATTCAATTAGTAGATTGCTAAAGATCTTAGAAATCCTAACTGCCTCTCAAAGTCCAATTTCCAAGACCTCAATCTACTTGAAATTCAATATCCTTCAATTCAAAAATTCAATCAAGCTCAAACTTATAGTATATACTTTAAGCAACTAATTTTATAAGTCATCAAAATTTACACTATAGATCTATTATCAAATTCACAAAATTCTCCAAAACGTATCACTCTTTTTATTTCACAAATTCCAAAGACACCTAAAAAAATTGTGACTTTGTAAAGCTCTTATAAAGTGATTACATACTTAATTCCCTCAAATTCAATGCTTAAAAAAACCCTATCAAGTTTGCTCTCAAATTCCATTCTTTGATTTGCCAAAGAATCCTCAAATTGCCATAGGTGCTTTGTTTTGTGCCTCAGGGTCTGATTTTGATCTAGATTGATAATTGGTCCTCTTTGGGTATCACATTTTTCCCTTTTGAGTTAATTTTTTTCCAATCAACTCTTAACTTTTTCTTACATATGTTTATATTCTTTATTTTCTTAATCTACCTTATTTTGTTTTATTTATGGCCTTATAAAGTAAGTAGAAGCCCTCTTTACAAAAAGGTAGCATTTAAATCTTTAGTTCTACTTTCTTTTGGACTATTGTTTATTTACTAAGATAATTTGTTAAAATATTTGAAGTAAGATCTTCTATAATATAATAGATTCTTCACCTCTTTTACCTATTAGT